ACAGCACGGAGGACTCTGTTTTATTCAGACAAAAAGAAAAAATCTTCAGACCATAGATTTTATCAATTTCAGCATTCTGACTTGTCATGGTAAGTCCTAAAGGAAACGCCAGGCCGAGTTCTAGCTGCTAACGCCACTGTCGTCTCCCTAGACACAGGACCATCAGGTCGTTCCTCCCACTCGGAAGTCGAACTATCATCTCCTTGTAGAAAAATAGCTAGAATTATACAGTGTCTTTGACTTTGCACATCTTCCAAAGGAAACACTTTCATACTTTTGGTTGTGAGCCTAGCCTGGAACGGCTGGGCCATCTCTCCAGTCCAAGAAAACACTCTCAATGAATTTGAATGAACCCAAAGAGTAGCAGCACCAGCACACAGAATCAGTCCGGGGCTTAGCCTTCTAACAGGAGAGTCTGGGGCTCAGCCTTCTAACAAGAGAGTCCCGGGCTTAGCCCTCTAACAAGAGAGTCCGGGGCTCAGCCCTCTAACAAGAGAGTCCGGGGCTTAGCCCTCTAACAAGAGAGTTGCGTTAATTACAGGAAACACTGTTGCCAAACACAGTCCTAGCATTGCTACGTTTGGAAAACCATATTCATGAATTTTAAAAGTTCATCTTTAATGTAAATAAATATTTTAATTTATGTCCAGTGATTCTGATCTCATTTTGAAAGGAATCCCGCACCCTCCCCCGCCGCCCCCCCCTTCCCCGCCCCAGACCAAAAGGCACTGTATCGTAGGGACTCATTCCAAATCATGTATATTAATGAAAATAATTTCTTTGGATCATAAATCCCACATGACATTTTGAAAATGACCCCACAGCAAGGGAAAGACAGGTAGCAAATGCTGGGGAGGATGATTTCCCAATATTGTCACAGGACAGGAGCATAGATAATTCAAAAATCACAGGTACATCCAAATTTCCATTTCAACCATGCCTTCCACATCCTTCTTCACCTAACTGCATCTCAGGGCTGAGCGAGAGGAGACGCCACATACTTGGGGCTTTGTCTCCTTCAGTTGCCTCTCTTGGTGGTCCACATGCTCACGGTCCCAGCTAGGGTTTCTATCGATGCAATGAAACACCATGACATAAACAAGTTGGGGAGGAAGGGGTCTGTTGGGCTTACACTTCCACAGCACTGTTCATCATGGAAGGAAGTCAGGACAGGAACGCAAACAGGGCAGGAACCTGGAGGCAGGAGCTGATGCAGAGACCATGGAGGAGTGCTGTTGACTGGCTTGCTTATGTTTTCAGAAGGTTAGTACATTATCATCTTGGCAGAAGCACCCTAGGAGCTTGAGGGTACTTATAGTGCTAGAGCAGTAGCTGAGAACTACATCCTGATCCACAGGCAGAGAGAGAGAGATTGGGCCTGGCATTGCTTTTGAAACCTCAAAGCCCACCCCGCAGTGAAACACTTCCTCTAACAAGGCCACACCCACTCCATTCAGGCCATACCTCCTAGTCCTTCTAATCCTTTCAAACAGTTCTTCTCCCCGTGACTAAGCATTCAAATATATGAGCCTCTGGGGGCCAGTCTCATTCAAACCACCACACTAACACAGAAAGCAAGAAGAGATGGGGAATCACACAACCCAGATTACAAAACAAAGTCACTGGGTAAATCCAAACCCAAATATACTTCAGGCAAACTGGCCAGCAGGTCTCACATCAATTAACAGCACCCCTACCTTTCAACAAGACATAACCGGCACAAGTCACGGACACGTTCCCACTCATATCCCCAGAGCAGAAATATATCAGAGGAGTAACATGCAGACGGCCTGCTTTGGAGCGGACATTTCTCCAGACTCACCGCTGCATCTCTGGCCTAAGGCCAGTACTCAGAACTCAGTCCCACCATACTGTACCAGAACTTCCTGCTCCAGCTGTGGGTGGACCTGAGGGGCATCATCATCTACTGAGTCACACAGCCACCAGCTTTATCTGGGTCTTCTCCATCTATCTGGATCCACTTCTTCTCTATTTCAACCTGTTAGGGGGAAACAGAGCACTGGCGGTGTTAGAGGCAAGGTGGACAGTGGCTCTTGGTACCGTCTACACCTGATGATTAGCTAACCACCTCGCCCTGTGGACACAGACGCAGCCTGTCCACGGATCCACAGCAGCTCAGTAGTGAGGCGCTCTTGTTTTGCGGGAACCAAGCCCCCAAATCCTTCCTTCTAGAATCAAAGCTGAAGCTCTCTGGAATGATAGCTCTCGTCACAATTTTTATTTTCAATCTGCCGTGCTCTGGGAAGCTGTCATAGGAACGGTCCTACAGTGGTCCTTGGGTGACTGAATTTCCCCATCACTGGAACAGGCTGACCCAATTTCTTCTGTAGTACAGTTCCTGGCTGCTGAGGGTAGGGGGCAGCTTTGGGGCAGAGGGTAGGGCACAGTGAACCAGCTGCCCCTCACTAACTGTATCAGTAGGGAAAGAAATCAGTGGATCCACGCATACAGATTTCTCAACAGATGTCAATGGTGGCCACTAAGTTACCATGGCTGACCACTGAGCTTTTCCCTTGTCAAATATCGTTGGAGAGAGAAGAGAGAAAGGGAGAGAGACACACAGGCAGACTGACTGACTGACTGACTGGCTGGCTGACTGACTGACTGACTCATTCTTAAGGGGCAAACTGAGTATTTCCTGCCAGGCCAGGCCCCACCCCGGATCTAGAAACCCTCGCTTGAACCAGGGCTCTTGGGGTACCTGGATGTTGTAGCAAGCCCGCTGAGACGTGTGTTTCTGAGGCTGTACGTCGCTCTCTACTCCTAGAGACCTCACCTCTGTCCCCGAGGCAGAGGTTTCAGGCATTGAAAACTGGACAGTAGCAAATGGATACCAATCCGAGGGAATCTCCTGGTCTGATCCAAGTTCAAGTTTGTATGACAGACTATGAGGCTGATCGGGACCTAGAGGAAACCAAAGCAAAGAGTCAGAATGATCCAATGGCAAAGGAGTAGTCTTCTACACCACGTGCTTCTCGCTATAGTGAAAATCCCAGCCGTGAACATCAACTGTGTGTCAAGTGGGAAGAACCTAGAGCCATGCTTGGAGCATTAATTCTTGTCCCCACACAGATCGACTCTTAAAAATGGCTTTTAGTCACAAATGTCACAAAGGTTCTCTAATCAAAAGATAAGAACAATATTTATATGAAACAGAATTATTTGACCACAATGTGATTCAGCCTCCTAGAAACCTTTCTCCTGAGCAGACTGAACAAGCTCCAATAATTCCCCTATCATTGTTTTAAACCGGTGTTTATTTTCAGATAATGCAAAGATAGACTTCAAATTAGGTCATATAGTTTCGAAAGCCTGACTTTTAAAAGTTAGGCTTGAAGTTTTGATATAACACATTTTTGCTTCAGTGGAATGGATTTTTTTTTTCACTACTGAAATCCCCACTCACTGTCCTGAAAAGCTCTTACGAGAACAGATTACAGCAGAGAGATGGGCATCCCGGCCTCCAGTATCTCAGTCTAATATTTGTTCTCGGTGAAGTGAATTGTCATGGCAAGGTACCCTAGGCTGTGCCGGAACCTGTGCAGGACCCAGGGGTCTTGGGTCTCTCGGAGAGCTGAGGTGGGAGTTAGACAGTGTGGGGGAGGGGAGGGAGTGCTGATGGGTTAGTACTTCAGAGCCAGGCACACACCCGCAATGCCAACCCTAAGAGGCGGCGGCGCTGGGAAGAGTGGGCTGCAAAGTCATTCCAGACTACATCTGACTTTGAGGCCAGCCTAAGACAAACAACAAACAGTAAAGTGTGTGTGTCCCTGTAGTCACTTCACAAGTGTCCCATGGTCCTGTCGCATTGTTCATGGCATCTAATTGTGTCCAGTTTAATCTGTCTTTAAATAAATGTAACTTCTAAAAAAAATACGGTAACTTCAAAAGCCAGATTAAACTCCTGTGCCACTTAACAGCTCAAGGGGGGAAAAAAACATTTTCATCTGAGTATAGCCCTAGGCTCAAAAACATGAGCTTAAAAGATTTTTCCTAAATTTACTTTAAAAGAAAAGTTGCCTTTCATTCCTTGCAACCTGCCTCTTGTAGAGAGACTGATGGAATTCCGAAGCTGTAAAAGGGCCTGGAGAAGTCACCCATCAATCAGCCAGCCAGTGCTCACTCCACAGCACTAATACAGAGAGGATGGGACCACAGTGGCCTGTGAGGGTCCACAAGCTGCCCATGTCACTGCAGGCGAGACCACACACACACACACACACACACACACACACACACACACACACACACACACACACACACGGAGGGGGGGAGAGAGACAGAGAGGAGTGGGGTCCTCATAATCTCTCATCCTGTCCAGACGTCAGGCAGCGTCCAGGATGCAGTAGCTCACTTAACACTCAGGCACGGCCTTTCCCTTCTATGGCTGTGACAGAACACAAACTCTTGGTTTACTTCAGAGCTCTTGTGACCCTAGGCAAGCTACCTAACTCTTTGAGCCTCAGTTTCCCCAACGAGGGTCTTCAGGGGTTGTTGTGAGGCTCACCTGCCAGCAGAAGCACCAGCTGAACTTTATTCTTTGCCGAGTGCTGTTTGATTTTAAAGCTCACGTATCCATTACTATAGTTTGCCAGTCAGAGAACTGTGTATTCTACCTACTTAGACTTGAAAGTGATACTGGAGTTTATTCCATTTGGTGTTTATATTGTACAAGAAAAGTTTCTTAGGGAAGTCTCCCAGTGAAAACGGGAGTGGGAAACACATCTGATTTAAAGATGTAAGACTTTTTAAATGATGGAACTGGCACTTCGGTCTTTCTTTCCTTAAAAGCTGGTGGTAAGAGTATTTTTCTCCCAAGTTTTCTCTACAGTGTTCACTAACACACTCCTATTCAAACTGCCTAAAAGACACTTGTCAAACTTGGGAATGACAGAGAAACGCCTGTTATCTCGGGACCGACCACGAGGGGGCACTGGCGGACCTTAGTTATTACTCTTTCAGCTCAGGACCTCGGGAGAGCGAACCACAGGGGCTTTCTAGGTCCGGGTGATAACCAGTCTCCTGACACAACATACGCCACATCTGAAGCTGGACCACTAAGAAGAGCTGAAGAAAATTGACGTAGGAGGACCAAATCGCGAGGGATCGAACCGAGATACTGGTGACAAAGGGCGAAGCAGAAATGAACCGGGGGGCGGGGCGGGGGGCGGGGATGGGGTGGGGGCGAGCGAAGGACAAAGCTGCAGCTGCTGGTGAGTGTCGCTCCCGCAACCCCCTATCTAAACCGCCTGTCCTTGTCTCCAGCGTCTTCCGCTCTCACCCTTTGCCCCTTGATCAACGAGCTCTTTTGCTTTTATTCTGCGTTCACGCCAGCAGAACTCTGGGGTATGGAGAAGAAATTGGGGCCAACTTGGGGAAATCTGAGTTGATGGATTCATTCATCTGTTTGGTATTCAGTCAAACCTTTCCTGTGCGCGTCTGCCTAGAGTGGGTGACAAAGATCAGAACGTCGGCACCCCCATTTCACAGTCCCCGAGAACCTCTCTAGTCCTTCAGGGAACGTCAGTGCACCTTGGGCTTCTGCTTCTCCGTGCTGCGAACATCAAAGGAAGCACTTTTACTAGAGAGAGTTCTGGAGGTATTTTGAACACAAGACTATTTTAAATAACCACAATGCCAAGATCTCTTCATGCATTTTACAGCAGTATCCCTGGGGAGGGTCAAGGCCCCCAGTATGTATGTCACTCCCCAGGAGAACCTCATGTGTTCCTAGGGTGAGGACCACTTCCCTACAGACCTGAGTGATGTAGGAAGGAAGAGCAGGCCCAGCCTAGGGTGGACCTGCTTCCTGGACTGGGTCCTTGACCATGACTTGCAGCTTGCTGATGTAACCAACGAGACTTTGAGTTACAGACAGGATTCAGCAGGTACCAGACACCAACGTGGGAGACTGAGGAACCGTGCCCTGTGCAGAACGGGAGTCCCCAGCCCGTCATCCTACCCGATACCTCACACTCCTTCACAGGAGCCACATTTCACTCAGCCTTGACATGACTCTGATCAGCCACAATATTTGCCCATGGCATGGCCAAGATAGCTCAGGGCAAGGCTAGGTGGTGCTGGTGTAGTCTGGTCATAATGGCCTGTGATGGTACGGGTTACTCAGCTCGCGTTCGGTGGGCATGTCAATGACTATCATAATCCACAGAGATCACTCATGGGGTTGTCTGATAACTAGGCTGCTGAAGCAGGTTAAACTTTCTCCGTGTCTTTATGGGGGGGGGGGGGACGCGGTTTGGAGATCTTAATAACATGTTCTCAGAGATCAATTTTGAAATCTATTTGTCCCTTTTTCAATCTCACAAGGTAGACAAAATCAGAATCCTGCCTCTCATTTCTACAAAAAACAGGAAAGCTGGCAGGTAGCTTTCAGATGAGATGAGACCCTCCTGGACCCCGAGACCACCCCTGAGGTCTGAGTGACACCCTGATTTCTGCTGGTTTCCACTGGTGCTGGGGCAGCCTCTGGGACCAGACATAGTGTCTGTGTAGAGTGGAAGTAATGACTGCACATTTCTAATGAAAATGATCCCATCTATGGCAGCGGACTTTCCCGGAATTCATGGTGTAGACTGATTGGATCGGCGAGAATGGATCATGAGAGGAGATTCAGCCCTTCACGCCTTCTTCCCACAAATTTACAATGATTTCCTCCAGGAAATTCCGTCCAGTTCTGTGCTGGATGCTAGGGAGATGCAGACAGGCATGTGACTCCTGCTCACCAGAAATGGAACCGGAACTGCCCAGCAGATGAGACCAACCCAGAAGGAGCTACCCAGAGGCACCACAGTGAGGACTCGGTCCAGCCCATTCACAAGTGAGCAGCATCAACCACAGAATCCTGGAGAATGGGGTGATGCTCTACCTGGGAGCCAGAGGAGGCTCTTCCCCCTTCCTTCCTTCCTTCCTTCCTTCCTTCCTTCCTTCCTTCCTTCCTTCCTCCCTCCCTCCCTCCCTCCCTCCCTCCCTCCCTCTCTCTCTTCCTCCCTCCCTCCATTCCTATAAACATTTCCTCAGAACCACCACAGAAAATCTCTTAACTAGGTTGCCATTTCTTTGATACTAAAGAGGCAGGAAGTTAAATTCATCGGGTAGCACTAACACAAGAGAAAACAAACCAGCTGTTTGGCTAAATGTCCCACCTCCCACCCAGCTGTGCTGATGAGCCCTCGGCTTCTCAAGCTACCGTCCACCTCTGCCTGCTTTGGGCCCATGGACGTGGTGAAAACGCTGAGCAGTCCCCTGTGAACGTCAGCCTAGGCGTCGGATATTTACTTGAGTTTTTGTCCGGAAGCCGATCTATCTTCCACACCACTGCCCGGTAGGCGCTCTCGTATTTCGCTGACCCCACAGTGACCTGAATGACAGGTTCGGATTCAGGTTCCTGTAAACTCCCCAGACATGCCCGACGGTTCATTTTGGCTTTCAGAGACTTCTGCCTCTGAAGGTTCCTGGTCCAGAGGGCCTTGATCCATTGGGCTGGGACAGGAAAGTGAATCATGATATTGTCACAGCACCTTGAGGAACTGGCAAGGGGTGACTTCTGAGCCCCCGGGGTCATGTTGACAAAGGCCTGAAGTTCCACATACGCCCCCTGGACAGCCACTATGGACTTCACAGAAAAGGGAAGCTCATCCCCTTCGTACGAGGTTTTGAAACGCATCAGCTCAAACCGGCAAGCATCCAGAGGTATGAACTTAATGATTCTGGACTGTTCGAATTCCTCAGCTTTCACACATGTATGGAAATGGTAGTTAAGAATATCAATCCCCCTTTTTTCTGGTTCTTTCTCAAAATAGCATTCATCTCGTTTCTGGAGTTCAAGGTCATTCAAGGTTAAAAAACATTCCGCCGTCCCATTCACAAAGCAGAGGCAGCAGATTTGAGTTATCACAGCACTTTCAACCAATTTCCCATCTTCTTTGGTGACTTTACCCCAAAAATTGTCCACGATGTCCAGGTAAATTTCTTGTTCCTCGTAGTTCTTCCTTGGTTTCGAAACAGCGGGCAGCTTTACCAGCTCCTCCTCCACAGTGGTCAGGAACTCCAGGAAGTCACCATGCTCCGTGGACCCCAACTTCAGCATCTGCTCTACGTCAGGCTCGTGAACCACCTCCGTCTTGGAATGGTATTTCCTTTTCTCTGAGTAAGACACATGCTCCACCTTCACAGTGTGGATTTTCCCGGCCATGCTGAAGTTCTCGAGTTTGGGTTCAGAAAGTCTGCAATGTGGATCGAGCTGGAACTCTTTGAACGGCTTTTCCAGCCCCTTCTCATAATACATCTGCAGAATCCCTCCTGACAGAACCTTCAGGAAAATGGGTCCCCACTGCCTGGAAGACATCATGTTCTTCTTCTCGGGAATCCTCAGCATGAAGGACCATCCAGCTTTGGGCTGACTCCGGAAGAGCGTGTTGGGGACAAAAGAAGAGGCGGGGTCTCCAGCACAGGGACTCTGCGTAGACGCGTTTCCAAGAGGGTCTTGGGTCTCAGCTGACTGCAGGTGCTCAAGCCTCTCACAGACGTAGCTAAGTGAGCACTGGTTTAGGCTTTTTTGATCAATGGGTACTTCCTTGTCCCTCGATGAGAACGGCTTTCTGCTAGCCGGGGAGTCAAGGGAGAGCTGAGAACTGCTACCTTCATCTTTCCAAAATGGGTTGGAGAAAGAACAATCCTCTCGAAAATACTCGAACTGCAGAGCCTCGCTTCGGGCCCCCTGAGGGCTGGCGTCATCTTCAAGACCAGCTTTGGGAGTCAGTGGGGTGCATGAGGGGTCACTGGGTAATGATGCATGGGGTAAGCAGGTTGGCTTAGTAAGCGATAACGGAGGACCCGCTGTTGAGTGGGGGCTGCTTGAAGAACATTCTGGAATAGGATAAAGCACGTGAGTCCCTGGTTTAGGGATGCCGGGGAACCCCGGGAAGTCTTTGGTGGGTGTAGAGAGAGGAGAGTTGCTTGGAGGTCCTGGACTGAAGTAAAAGTCGACCATGGGAGAGGATAGTGGGGTGCTGCTGGTGGAGGAGGAAGCGCTAGGGAGGTCCCTGAGGCCGGGCAGGCTCAGCTTCAGTCCATTTGGTCTGCAAACACCTTGGGTCTCCAGAGGGAAATCCTTCGCCTTCGCCTGAGAAGACGGAAAAGCGGGGTCATCATCGAAGGTGACCCAGCTGCCTGGGTTTGTAGAACACATCTTCAGGGTGGGCTTGTGGAATGGTCAAATAGTCAGGGACATTGTCTCTGTAAAGGAGAAAGACAGGTTAAAGGTTAAAAATAAAGGTTAAAAACCAAGATACTAGAGTTCTTTCGTTTTGACAAAGACCTGGGTGTGGAAAGCACACGTTTACTATGTGCAAAAAAAAAAAAAAAAAAAAAAAAAAAAAGCTTACAAGTGGCCGTTCTTGGCACATAAATGACCAAAACACTAAGACCTAACTCTGTGGGTCCCCCGGAGTTTGCTTTAGGTGAGAACACACATCAGCTGAAAAGGACGGGAGGAAGATGGAAACCTAAGTAGTGTGGGGAGGGCAGAGGCCGGAGTGTGGGTCTGACTGTCCCCCAGGGTGCATGCATCGGAGACACTGTCCTCAGCCCTTGGCACAACTGAGACTTTAGGAAGGAGAGCCTCATGGAAGGAAGCTGGGTCAATGGAGGGTGGACCCCTGAAGGGGGATGTGGGGACCCCACCTTCCCCCCTTTTTCTCTGACACCGTGGGGTGGATGGGCTACCTCCTTTCCAACTCCCATTGTGATGTACCCAAGGGTCACAGGCCAATTGGCCAGAGACTAAAACCTTTAAAACCATGAATCAACATAGGTCTTTCCTCTCTTTCTAAGTTCATGTCTCAGGTATTTTGTTATAGTGACAGAAAGCTAACTACCGCAGGAGTCACACTTCCATCAGACAAAACAAACTTCATGTCAAAAAGTTACGATGCCAGGCACGGAGGCGCACGCCTACTCCCAGGATGTGGGAAGCTGAGGCAGGGGGAACCTAGTCAATTCAGCCTGGGCTACCTAGTGAGTTCAGCTCGTACTTTTATTTAGTTCAGCCACAGGGCAGGCCTCAGTCTCATAAAACAAAGACACACGGGCTGGAGCGACGGCTCAGCAGTTAAGAGCACTGGCTGTTTTTACAGAAGACCCGTTTGTTCCCCACACCCACATGGCGGCTCACAAGCGTCTCTGACTCCAGTTCTGTGGGATCTGACCAATCCCTTTTCTGACCTCCATGGGCACCAGGTATGCATGTGGTACACATACATGCAAGTAGACAGAATACTCACACACCTACAATAAAAATATAAAATATTTTAAAAACAAATAGCCAAGCGGTGGTGGCACACACCTTTAATCCCAGCACTCGGGAGGCAGAGGCAGGTGGATCTCTGTGAGTTTGAGGCCAATCTGGTCTACAGAGCGAGTTCCAGGATAGACAAGGCTACACAGAGGAACCCTGTCTTGGAAAACCAATAATAATAATAATAATAATAATAATAATAATAATAATAACAACAACAACAAGTTGCAGACACAAAAGGCACACTGTATACAAATAAAAGGGTCAGTGCACAAGGAAGATAAAATAATTGTAAATGTGCTGGAACCTAGTACCAGAATGCCAAGAGAAAGAAAAGCAAATGCCGGCAGCCATGAAGGAGGGACGAGACAGCTAAATATAACATGAAGACATTCGGTATCCCACTTTTTATAATAGAGGTAGTATCCGGATGGATGGGATGTTTTTCTTTTTATACTAAGAAGGTTTGACCAATCCCTCCCACCAAATGAGCCTGCCGGACACATACACAGCACTCCAGCACAGAATGGAGTGGCCATACACCTTCTCCAGCAGAACACACAGAACACATGCCGAAGTAGGTCCCGATAGGCCACAAAACAAACCTTAAATTTAGGGAGACTGAAGTAATGTATTTTTGCCTACTACAGGGCAGGAAAGCCCTAGAAGTCAACAGCAAAAGGAGAGCTGGAAGATTCGCCAATATATATGGAAATTGACAACCTAAACAACAGATGAAGACATTGTGTAGTCACACAATTTCCAAAGGAAAGCAGAGGGGTGGAGGGGTTAATTAGAAAATACCGTGAGACAAATGAAAATGAGAACATAGATTTCTAAAATTCACCGTCCATGCTAACAGGGAAGTCTACAACAATCAACACCTCCATTAAATCATCATCATCATAATAATAATAACAATAATAATAATGATGGCGGATTCAAAGAAATGGCACAGCTTTACGCTTGAAGAAGCTGGCCAACCGACAGGCTAGGAGGAGGTTAGCGGAGGAGAAATACCAGAGCAGAGGTGAGTGAGACGGAGAATAGAAGATGGGATACAGAAGGTCGAGCCTTGGAGTCAGTTTTGTTGAAAACGGATAGATCTAAGCTAATTTAGTGGGAAAGGGGAGAAGATTCCAAATCAGAAACAAAAGACATGGCAACGAAACTCACAGAAACAGAAAGGCTTGTAAGAGCCTCTGAGCAGACCAGCAAGCGGGCAAGCTTGAAGACGACGGTTAAAATTCCTAGAAACAGGCAACCTGCCGACGCCGAACCAGAAAACCAGAAAATCTGGGCTGGAGAGTCGGCCCAGTGGTTAAGAGCACCAGCTGCTCTTACACAGGCCTGGGTTCAGTTCCCAGCACCCACATGGTGGTTCACAGCCATCAGGAACTCCAATCCCAGAGGATCCAATGACCTCTTCTGACTTCCACAGGTACAGGAGGAAAAAAATAAAACCAAACACATAAAATAGTAAATCTTTTTAAAAGAGAAAGAGAGAGATAAAGAAATAGAAAATTTGAATAAATCTTTAGCTAGTGAGAGAGACTGGTCTCATCACGGAAAACTTCCCAACAAGGAGAAGCCCAGGACCAAATGGCTTCCCTGCCAAAGTCTACAAAACACTCAGAGAAGAATTAATGTCCTTTGCAAAGTCTCCCAAAAACTGAAGAGGAGGGAATGCTTCCAACCTGTTTTATGAGGCCAGCTTCACCCCGATAACAAAGCCAGACAAGCACCCTTAAACACTGAATTCATTATTTAAACACACACACACTAGGGCGCTAAGAATGAAGAAAATGTGTACAAGGGAATATTACTGGGTCTTAAAAACTCATTCTAACACCTGCTGCAGCACTCCTGGACCCTGAGTGTTGTATCTGAGGTGAAAGCCAGCAGCAGACATAGACACTCTGGCCCCACTTACACAAGATACCTGACGTCAGGCTCGGAGCAGAAAGTGCAGTGGTGTGTGCCAAGCCCTGGAAAAGGGACAAATGGGGAGTCACCGTTCAGAGAGCACAGCATTTCAGTTGTAAAAGATGATTTAGGAAGATCTGGGGCTCAGCCAGTGCATATAGTTTTGTTGACAACTGATAAATCCTTATAGCTAATTTAATGCACAATGGAAAAAAAGGAAGATTCAAGTTTAGAAATAAAAGACATTGCAACAGAAGTCACAAAAATAAAAAGGACTGTAAGAGGCTGTGGGCAGACCAACCAGTGAGACAGATGCTCTGCACAATTCACTTAAAATTGTGTTACAAAGGATAGATTTCGTGTGCAGTAGACGGGAAGGTTGGGAATATGAATAACTAAGTCTTCATTGGCATGATTACTATGTAGTCATTTTGTTAGTGGAGTGGAAAATGTGGGGGAAAACTAAAAATCCCGTGAGTTTATAAGGCACGGCAGCACCCACCCCCCCATATATGAAGTTTACTATTCAAATATTTCCTATTCATGACTCATAGCTTATGAAACAACCTGTGCTGTGCAAACCAGCATTCCTGTGTCAGCCTGAAGTCACCCCAGCAGTAAGGGGCAAAACCCCTGTGTCAGCCTGAAGTCACCC